ATAAAACCACAGTTTATAGCTGTACAGACACAGGTCAGATGTGTGGAGTTTTTAGGATTAATGGTTTTAGGACAGTCATATTGTTTAGGGTTGGCAAAGGCTGAGTTTAAGGAAAAGGTTGTCTCAAAATTGAATTAAAATGAAGTGCAGCATCAGGGAGGGTACATGTGAAATATGCAAATAACCACTGATTAATTTAAAAACACTGGTATTTTGGTGATAGACCAAACAAAGGGTTTCAGCACAAAAGTGGGCTTTTTTTTTTTTTTTTTTTTTTTTTTTTAAAAAGTTGTGAGCACCAGAAATGGAGCATTTATGAAGAAAGTGATAAATTGAGAGCAGGGCATTTAAGATGACCACATAGATATAGTCACATCTGGGACCTGGCTGAATCTGTCTGTAGGTCCTGCAGACCTCTTCCATTCCTAGCACAGATCCCCATGGCAGTCTCTACCTGCCAGGTGGTGATGCTGTAAGACATAACAGGGGATTGTGTTGCAGGTTCTGCTATTACTTAGATTTCATTATTCCTCCAAAATACACTCAAATACATTTACAACTAAGCTTAAAAGTATTAGCATAAATCATGAAAACCAAATGGCACACAAAAATAAATGAACCAAGTCTGTTTGGGGAGGCTGTATCTTCAGTTATTTCTTATCATGTTTGTTCATTTAATGAATTTTGCCAATTAGCAATTAATTTGCAGTAGGTCTCCTAGTCATTAGTGTGAATTAGCAAGGTTTTGTTGGCAGAATGTCTCTAACATTAAATAAAAATGCTGTAATGTTCAAAACCTCAAGGGTACTCCACGATGAGACCCTCCATAGAAATCAAACTCCTCAGGGCCACCCTCCAGTCACTCAACCCCTGCTGTGAAAGTGCAGTGGATGCTCTGTTATCTATTTAAGCCGCATGGCCCAATTCCTGAGCAATGCTCTCCTCCTTCAGCGGAGAGCAGAGCGGCTCAGTACCAGTGTACTCCGTGCCTCTCAGGCCAAGCGCGTGCCGGCAGAGGCTGTGTATCCCAGGATCAGGCAAGGCTCCTCTCTGCATAGGTAGGCTCTGGTGTACTGTGGCTTCCTAGCGTTGATTCACACAATTTTCTGTAGCTCTTTATTTATTTTTCTCTTGGTACACACAGTTCATGTGTTTAATGCAGGTTGTTTATAGCAAGGACAAAGGATTACAGTCCTTAAATCAAAAGCAGCATTGGTGTAATTATAGGTGCAGGCTGGTGTTGCAAAGAGGGCTGTAGGGAGAGGCTGTCAAAGGAGAAGAGCATCCAAAATATAGTAACCTCAAAAATCCCGGCTAATCAGTTTTCTGACGGGAGCAATCTGTTTCCCAGGTATTATTATTATATGGGGACTTTAAAGATAATAAATAACAATAATAGTCTAGTATAAGGAAGGAAAGAAAAGGGCAAATGCCATTCACCTCGGAAGCTGTGGTTGCTCACTGGAGTTCTCCGAGGAACATAATTTTCCTCAGCCCCTGCGGAGGACTCGATCCATGACAACACCAAGAACATCCCAGGAGCCATGGTGTAAGCAATGAGATTGCCTTGAGTGGTGTTTTCATTAATACAGAGATACAGCCTGCAGAAACCACATATCCCAGCGCACCCATCTCAAGCCAGAGAGCTGTTCTCTGTGCCATTGCCTGGGACCTGTGGTCCCTGCGGATTGCCTCATTCCTAGGGAATGAGGGCAGGTCACTTCCAGCACTCTGGTGCATCTCTGGACATCTACTTAGAAGACCAAAACAAAGAAGGGCTTGCTGAAGTAAGCTTGGGCTTATCAGAGCTGTACAGGGCATGAACGCTTCTCTCCAGCAACAAGGCAGCCCAGCTAACGGACCCTGGCTAACAGATTATCACAGCATTTGAGTAATAGACTGCTCATTTAGTTTTAATACATTTTGCATAGAGAGCAATCAGCCTTCATCAGTCTTAGAGATGAATTGGCTTAGCCAGCTAAATTCTAAAGATATTAGTCCGACAGCAGCCACATAAATCATAACATTTTCTTAATGATGGTAAAATTAAAATATACTCTTGCTTTGAGAAACCAATGAAGCCTTCCTGTTTGCAGGCCAGATCCTCCTGCCTGAATTAAAAGGAAGCCTAATTGATGTGTTTTTAAACTAAACTCACAGCCCCACTCCTCCTGAGCATCTCTAGAGTTCCTTTCTTTGAAGTTAAATTAATTTGTCCTCCCTCTCCCTGCTCCATCCTCTAATCTTCAGGAGTGTCAGTGAAGACCTTGGCTCGGTATTCATTGACCAGACTCCTGTGGGACGTGAGCAGGACATATGCAACGTCACAGTTGAAGGCTTTGCCAGGTTAATGGTTTGTGTTGCCAGTAGTTCCTTGAGCTGGTGGAAGCCTCCCAGGAGAAAAGCTTGTGCTCGTCCTCTAACCAACAGACCAAGACCTCCTGTCTGACCTAGCCTAGCCAAGCATGAACTTTTCCTATTTCTTGTCCTTTGTTCCTGAAGCGGGCTTGAAGTCCAGCATGCTTTTGCCCTCTGGTGTTTAACAGAACGAATCCTGCCTTTAGCTAGAAAGACCATGTTGTCAGTGTTAGGGGCAGGGGTGAAGACAGACTCTCAGGGCTGTGATAATGACATAAGTGTTGTGTGTCCAGAGCTCTTCAGTGAGGAGATGCTGGGCTCTGTTAACCATTTGTGTCCTACAAGTTAAGGATAGCATGGTCTGACTAGGTCAGCCCATACATCCCCCAGCTGAGGCAGAGCGGGTATGTTGCCCATCTTAAATGTTCTGTATGATTCCTTGTGGAACACAACAGTTCTCTGGACCAAGGCCTCTTGCTTTCATGCTAACCATTCTGTCTCCTGCTTCTCCAGTCTAACCATTCTGTCTCCTGCTAAGCTGCGCTAAGCGACCTTTCCTTCTTTGGCATCCCACTACTAGCTGCAGCATGGCACCCACCAAATAGACAGAACCATCTCCTGTCCCAGTGCTTTGGGCTGCCTTATCTTAGGGCTCTACCCTGTCCTGCTGCTTTTCAGCAGAGCCTGTGCAGGTAGCCTGTGCAGCAGAGCTCCTGGGGAAAACCTATTTTAGTAAGGTTCTGCTCAAGTTAAGACTGTGAACCAAAGACTTGACTGAAATCCAAATACCTGATACCTTTGGCAGCCCTTCTTCTGCTAAAACAATCATTTTGTGGTCAATTGTAAAGATTCAGTCTCTGAAGTATGAAATTCACCGCTATGTAGAAACCCCAGGTTTGAGCCAAAGACCCTCAGGGTATAAAAAAGGACAGAGCTGTCCTCTGGTCTCTACCTGTTTACATGAGGGCAGGTTTTCCTTTCTCCCTAGTGCTCCTTTTGGATCCTCTGTATCAGGTTGGTTTCTTAGAAATCCTCCCCTGCTAGTCCTGTTGGTCCTTTGCTGGGGTCTTAATTGTGGCGGTAATATCTAGCAAAAGGACGAGGCGCTTCTTAGCATATACTGTGAAAGGCCTCTTCCCCTGGGGTGCTCTGTGCTGTCTGTACTCTGGTTTCTTGGCTGAAACCTTGTGCAGAGGGCAGGTTGTCCCAGCAGGTCCTTTGTTGGGGCTGTGGAGCTGCTGATGGGACGTATTCAGCCATAGCTGAGTTAAGGTTAGTGCTTTCACCATTTGGGTACGTGCGTGCAGTGCTCCTGCCTTTGAAGGAATTAAGAAGTTCCAGATGGTGTCTCTTGTAATTTTTGTGTTGGGGTAGTGAACGCTGTGGAAAAGGTGGGCCTAATTTGGGAGACTGATGTTGGGCTGTCTGTTTTGGGGGAACTTCAACCTGTGGCTCCTGGGAAGTAAGGTGACCATGGGCACCTCCGGTGAGCTCATCTCACAGGCCGGTTTTAAGGTGGAATAAAGAATGCCTCTTCCTTCAGGTCATTCCCAGCCCAGTGTTGCAGGCTCATGGTTGGTTTGGCCAAGGTTGGGGCCACTGATGTGTGGTGTGCAGGATGGCTGCAGGGTGCTCTCACCTCTTCTTGGCTCTTCCGTGGCCTGCTGGGCAGCTTGGGCTGGTGATGGTGGTCTCTGGGTGGAGGTGTGAGCTTACCTTCCTGGGGCTGGATGTGGAAGGACAGCCTACGACTGTGTGCAGTAAGGTTTGACACTACGGTGTTGAGGATCATTTCTTTCCTGGTCTGTCCTCTAGCATTGCTGAGGAAGGAAAGTGCTTTCATTTGTTCTTGGATATATCCACAGGGTCTGGAAACCTGTTCTCCCTGCCATATTGTGCCAGCTGCGTTTGTGCTGCTTGTAATCTAATAAATGCTTGGTCTGAGCAGCTAGCACTCCTGCTAGAGCCCAAATGAATGCAGAGGAAGGACCCTGCTAAGTGTATGCATTCTTCCTCTCCTGGCCAGCTCCTATTCCCTTTCATAGCTCACATCTGATGCTTCCTCTCTCACCTAGCCCCTTAGCTCCGATGTAAATGTGTGTTCACACTTCCGCCAGTCAAGTAACTGTGCTCTCTCTGTCTCTCCCCTTTGTTATAAAGCCTGCTCTGTAAATGAATCCCACAGGTCTGGGGCTCAGCAGGTAAAAGGAGAAGTGAGTCTGTTAGCGCATGAGTCTAATCAGGCCGGCTAAAGCGAATAAAGTAGGGCAGCATTGCACATTAGCCGCTGTGTAAATGAGCCCTTTGATGGGCTGGGCACCGCGGGAGAGGGTTTGAAGCCAAGAAGAACTTTTGTTGTTAATTCAGTGACACATGGAAACTGTAAAACAGCGTGTCTTGCACACACACGAGAGAGAAAATAAAAGCCCTCACGACCGGGCTTTTCAATACCTGCCCTCGGACCTAGTCTGAAAACTTTCAGCCCCTGTCTCCCTCTCTTACCACTTGATTTTCCTTTCTCTCCCTTTCTTTTTTTGTTCCCCCTGCACTATAAAAAGAAAAGCTCTCTTGCCTTTTGAACTAGACGGCTGTGAGTGAGGGCTATCTCTGAGCTGTGTGGCTCTGTTACCTTTGTGTTCCAGATGAAACTGCCAAGCTCGGTGGGACAGAAGAAGATTAAAGCCCTGGAGCAGATGTTGATGGAACTCGGAGTAGGTGAGTAAAGGGGGCACGCGAGAGAGAAAGAGACACACAGAGCTAGCCTTTGTTCTCGAGATGGGCTATTTTTTCCCCTAGTAATACAGCCAGTTTCTTGAATAACAGTATGTGAATGGTTTTTAAAATATTTTATGTGTTTAAAAAAAAAGAGAGAGAGGGTAAAAGCCAGAACAAGATGCACAGGGTTTTTTTTTTTTTCCTCCCAGTAGAAAAATGTTTTAAAAGAGCCTTTGTTTCTCTCTTGTTTGGGCCTTTTTAACCATCAAGAGAGGCAGCACAGTATTAGGAAGGCAAATCTCAGCCTTGCCGGGAGAGGTACTTCTAAGTGTGTTAGTGACCACGGCACGCGCATTGTTCAGGGCTGCCCTGTCTTGCTTTTAAGCTTCGTTTCCCCTTAATTTACTGCTCACAGTGGCAAGTCCAAAATGCGTCTGGGACTGTTCATCCCCCCTTTATAGGTTGCATGCTGTGTGAAAATCTGGAGCATCTCTGCTGAAAGGCGAGTAAACACACATCCCTCACTCTTCAACTCCAGTGTCTTAGCGGCAGAAAGAAGGGTTCACTTAACATGTACAATACCCTCTTGTAGCTAGAGGGGAAGAAGTGCAGCCCATGGCTAGCTGCTGCCCTCCATGCAGTGGGTACAGTTTCTAGGTACTACAGGTCCCAGCACGCAGTGCCCCTTGATTAGACACCTGATGGTCCCTTTTCCCCCCACTGTGGCTGGGGGGATTTTTAAAAATAGAAAAAGAAAAAAAGAAGAAGAGGAGAAGAAAAAAAGCCTTATTGGTGATTTACAAGAGATTACTGAGCCTGCTCCCAGCGCTGACTTCTGTTAACTCTTGTTAGTTTTTTTGGCCAACTGCTTTATGGCTTGATATGTTGTCTCAAGAGACTGTGTGCAGTTCTGAAGACCTCCTGTGGCTGGTGAAAGCAGCTCAACCAGGGTGGTTTCCCCTTCCTGCTTTAAAACTAAGGGAGTTACCGTCTTTGCTTGCTAGGGAAGCCTTGGGGAAGGATGTGAATGCTGCTTAGAGCTCACTTTCCACGAGGCTAAGGAGGGGTTCCTGGCTCCCTACCTCCTGCCTTACAAAACACACGTATCTTGAGGGCATCCGGGTACTCCAGCCCTGCTGTGCCTTAGAGTGTAGAAGCACACCTGCGCTATGTGTGGGTGAACACGGTGCTAGCAGGAAGGGGTCGTGTCGGCAGCCCTGCGGACAGGGGGCCACTGCTGTATATCGGGACAAATGCCCAGAGGTTTATTCTTTTCTTCTCCAGAACATGCAGCTCTCTCTGGTTCTGTGTGCGTGTGTGATGGGCTGCAGCAGAATGCATGGTGTGGGGAGGTGATCTGCCAGACTCTGCTACAAGCAGTTCAGGTCACTGAACTCCCTTCATAGGACCTGGTGGGTAGCAAGGTTCAGCCATCCAGTCTGATCTGCGTCTTCCATCATCCTGCTGAGTTCACCCTTAGTCCTTGGTCAGAGCCAAAGGACAGCCTGGCAATTCAGGTCTCCAACCTGTAGGGATGCTGCTTGCTAATGGTGCATGTGATGGGAGTGAGGCTCCTGGCATATCTTTGTGAGAGTGAATGAGCAGCCAGGACTAGGGATCTTCTAGCCAGATCTAGGTATCTTCTGTTGTAGGGTTGCAGGTCTGGGTCTTTAACAGAACTCCTTTTTCTCCCTAGATCTCAACCCTATGCCCACAGAAGAGATCGTGCAGATGTTCAACGAGCTGCGGAGTGACCTGGTGCTGCTGTATGAGCTAAAGCAAGCCTTTGCCAACTGCGAATATGAGCTGCAGATGTTACGGCACCGCTATGAGGCCCTGGCCAAGGCTGGTAGTATTGGCCCCCTCAGTGTGGAAGGCACCCATCCAGATGGCCAGGCAGGGCTCGGTCTCGACGAGGGCAAGGGAGATGCCAAGGACCAGATCATTGATGTAGTAGGAGCACCACTGACCCCCAACTCGGTGAGAAGGAAGGTTGGGGGGGCAGAACAGGGAGCACTCAGGTCTCCAACGCAGATGCCCTGACAAGCGCTGGGGATGCTGCCCTGCTCTCCCTCCAGGCGTGCACGTCCAAGGGAGCACAGCACGCCTGTTCCCCCCAAGTCCCAGTGCTGCTCTCTGGGCTTGTCTCCTGTGCTGGACAGTGTTCTTGGTGCTATAGGTGGGGTCAGCAGGGCTTTCTACATCCTGCATGCAGGCAGATGGCTTGAGGCGAGTGCCACCATGGACCAAAGCAGCAAGGCTTTGGGTGACTGGAGCTTGCTCTAGGGCAGCAACAGTGATGCCAGTACAGCTGCAAGTCCTGAGGCATTTTCCTTCTAGACACAGCCCTGTAAGGGTTGCTCAGCAGAGGGAAGCAAGTGGGGAAAGCAATCTTGAGATGATGAGCCATGACCTGCCCAAGTCCCTGGAGTCAAGCAGTATCCTGCCTGGAGCAGGAGGCTTGGGAAGGAGAGAGGTGTTTGAAGAGAAAAGGGGTGGTTTTATACCCTACTTCCAGTGCTGAGAAAGGAAAGCCAGACCTAGGGGTTCTTCCACTGCGAGCCCTGTGACAATGTTCTGTGCATGTACCTCTGCGGGATGTGAATCGCCAACCTCTCCTCCCTGCCCCTGTGAAGGCAGGCTGCCCAGCCCCTCACCGCTGCCTCAGGGCCAAGGGTGTGCCTGGGGATCAGCTGAGGTTGCTTTCCCCTCTGTGCAGTCCCCTGGCACAGCTGAGCTGAGCTGAACTGCCTGGTAAAAGCTGCCTGTCTCCACACAGTGGCATCCCCGACGCCTCAGACATACTGCCCTGGTAGTGGCACAGACCTTTACTTTCTAAAATGTATAATGTATTGCAGGATATTGAGAACACCTTATCTGTCAACGGCAGAGGCGACACGTTAATCTGGACTTGAGTAATGTCCTGTTTGATTGTGACAATATGGAGTCGTAAGGAAGTGTTCCACTGAGACAGGTTCATGTTTGCAAAAGGAGTCTTCTGAATTTTTTTTTTTTTCCCCTACTGTATTCGGTCTGAAATCTCATCCCTCCCTGTGCTCCGGAGTGTCCTGGTTTGCAAACTTTTCAGGCTGATTCACAAGACACTTGCTCTCCCTTGAGACTTCTCTTCTTGGGAAGGTGTGAGAGGTGGTGGTGGTGGAGGTGGTGGTGGCCATGGCTGCAGCAGGAGGGAGCCCATGTGTGTGTTTCTGACCACGTTGTTCCTCAGTGCCACCTCCTGGAATTGGAAACAAAGGGGTGGGCCTGGGCAGCACAGAGGGGGTTAAACTGACCTGGTCTCTGACATATTTGAAAGAAATATAATCAAGTTAATTCACTGCAAGGCAAATTCAGTACCTAAAGGGCCCCCATGTTAAATACAGCACTGACCTTTACCGGCTGATTACACAAAGACGACACAATTAGATTAGTCCAAGACAAAAGGTCAAGCACATTCACACTGTGACCATTTTATGCTACCTTTCGAGGGGGGGAAAAATTACATCCTGGCTGGAGGGGTATCTTGGAGAGGAGGGGAACGGGGTTGCTGTACCACATTCTGCCTGGCTCGGGTACCTTTGGAGAGTCAGGCAGGGCCTGGCACTGTGCTTGCCCTGAACTTTTCCTGCAGTTCTGGGCAATGTGGCGGTGGGAGAGACGAACAGCTTATAGCCCACAACCAGCTTTCCCAAGGATGGGCTGAGCTGAGTGGAGGCCGTGTGTTGGTGATGCTCCCTGCCCTGCCCAGAGCTGGCAGGACCCCAGTGCCTCTCGCTCAGCGTTGTGGCTCAAATTGGTCTCTGGAAGATCGGCGGGCTGGGGGTCAGCTCTGGGAAAGGGGGTGGCTGGGGCAGTCGCTGGCTGTTCAGCTGATAGGGTGCATGCACATGTCCCCACGCTGCACAGCAATAACCCTGAGGTGTCCCAGGCCCTGGTGCGATGGGGACAGCGTGGGAGGCACTGGGCTCAGGGCACGGCACTGAGGAAGCAGCCTGCCTCTGTGAGCACAGTGCTTTTCCCCCACCCTGGGGTGCTTGCAGCAGGGGTAGCAATATTGGTAGTGCAAACAAGCAGCTCTCCCTAGAGCAAGCGCAGTGGTGCTTTGTAGTGGCCTTTCCCTCCCCTCACCTCCTGCAGCCCTGGCCATGGGTGCTTGCAGGTGACACCTTGCCTTTTCCCCTCGATGAGGCTGCTTCAGCCGTTTAACCCTGCCACACCAGCCTTGAGCTCCTGAGTTCAAGCGTGTGCTTTGCCACTGAGCTGCTGGGGCCCTTGGGGGAATCATTTAATCTCCCTGCTTCAAATTCCTCTGAGTTGGAGAATCCCTTTGTGCTGTCTAGCACTGCCCATCTATGGCACTCCACATGTTGGATTAAGCATGGATTAGTTCAGCCTCCAAACCAGCTGCTCCCCTGAAGCCAGATTTGTTTCCCTGGAGAGAGGTATCTTGCTCCAGATGTTGGAGGGAGTGAGTGGCAAAGCCAGGAATAGGACTAGGAGTCCTGACTCCTGAGCCCTGCCCGGAGTGCCTGGATTCCTCTCCAGGAATTGGAATGGATGGGCAAATGTATGCCAGGGTCTTGAGATACCGGCTGTGGCAACAGCTGGCTGCCACCATCCCCCTCGGCCAGCAGTGGGGGGACATCTCAGCAGTGTGTTTCAGCCCAGGTTAGGAGAGGTGTCTGCCTGTCTGGGTAGCAAGACCCCATGGGGCAGCAGGAAGCCCAGCACCGTTCTGCCCTGCTGTGCCCCCCGCCTCCCTCCTACCCGGCTGCCTGTCCACCCTCTCCTAGGGGCTGTGGTGCCCATCGCTGACCATTAAAGCCGAGCTGGGATCCCCCCAGCGCCGTCTGCCGCTGACCCCGGTAGGGACTTTACTCGGGGCCTTCGGGAGGTGAAAGGTGAGCCGAACTCGGAACAAATTAGTTCCAAGCAGAAGTTCAGCCAGTTACTCCAGATTGGATCCTTTGATTTCCGCAACTCAGACTCCACTCAGTGATCTGTAATGAGTGACTCTCAGAAATCCTCACATTGCAGCACTTTGTTCCTGAGCTCACAAGTCAGCCCATTAATGGGTAAAGGAAAGGACCTTAAGTCTAAGAAGTCTCGGGTTCAGAGTCAGAATTATTTGACTTTTAAGCTTCCTTTATCTGAACTCCTGCTGACTTCTTGTTTTCTGAGCCTGTTTGAAAGCTAGAAGTTACATTGTTAAGATCAAACATTCTCTCTTTCCAGATGGAGTTACAATATCTGTCTTTTATATATATATATATAGTGTATATATACCAGGGTGTATATATATTCCTCTTTTTTTTTTTTTTAATCGTTCTTTCCATTAAAAGAAACTAGACTTGTAGGCTCTTGTAAATTATAATGTAAAACATTTTTTTTAACCAGACAGTTCCCAATTTTGCCCAAGGCAACTGGAATAGCTGCGCCACAGAAGGCAATAGGAAGGTGATTAATATGAATTTGTGACATATTTGAAAGATGGGTCTTTTGCCATATAAAGATTATCAAACACATGTGCTCTTCCCCATTAATTCCACAGCCCTCCCAGGAAAGCCACAAAGCCCAGCTCCTTTGTTTCCAGGGTGGGTTTTTGTTTTTTTAAATGTACTTTTCGGTCCCCTTGATTACCATGTATTTGATTTTTATAGGGCATCTGTTCACACTGCTGTGTGGGTTCTCTGGCCCTTTTATTTCTCCGTTAATCGGATCCCGTGAAGGCAGCCGTGCCAGGGCCTCTGACGAAATCCGTGTGTGTGTTGTATTTAACTTTTAGCCGTGCAAATTCCATGCTCTGTTTGCCGTCTGCCCAGTGCCCGGGGGGGACTGGGGGCCTCCTTCCCGCCGGGGGAGCCAGCGGGGCCTCCCACCACGCGTGCTGCCGCCGGGAGCACACGCATGCGGGACTGGCAGGGCTGGAGGAGCAGGGATGGGCAGGCCTGGCTCATTTCGGAGAGTGTGTCAGTGCTGCCTGCCCATCGCCAGCCGGGGCAGCGGCTCTGCAGCCCTCTGGGGATGGGGCATGGCTGCAGGGCTCTGGGCAGGGCCAGACCTGGCTGTGGTCGCCGTGCCGGTGCTGCAGTGCCAGCCTCCACAGCTGCCTGTGGCGTGTTGTGCAAAGTGGTCCTGAGCTCACGCTGTGCGGTGGGGCCCCCCGGGCTCTGGCACTGCGTGTCCCTGTGGCACCTGGGGCATGGGGTACCTGGTGGTGGTACCTCTGGCACGTGTCTGGGGCACCCTGCACACAGGGCCCGGCTTTGGGTGCTGAACCCACTGCGGTCTTGGGCATAGCGTCTGTGCAGCGCCTAGCACTGAGTCTTACTGCAGTGCAGCGATACGGGCAGGGTCGCGTTCCCCACTTGGTGCGAATGGCCCCGTCTTTCCTATGGCTGGATGCAGCCCTGACACCTTGTTTGTGAAGGGTGAGGCTCACCAGACCCCGCCACTCTGGCTCAGGCGTGATGGTGCATGCTGCCCAAAAAAGAGATGGGTGTTTTGAGAAGCTGTGGTTCTCTGTCAGCCTTTTGCTCTGCTCCTGGGCCGCTTCACAGCAGGTCTGGATGGTGGAGGAGCATTTCCAGGCTCTGCCCTATCCCGTGCCAAGCATCCCTGGCACAGCTGGCCGTAGCATGGAGCTGCTCTGCCCCTCTCTCAAGGCCCTGCTCCTTAGGGCTTGTTGCATGCCAGCTTGCTTGGTCAGGGCTCCTGGGACAACTGGGTTGTTACAGAGCTCAGCCCCTTTCTCCTGCTCGCTCTCAGACCCTGTGCTGCAAAGGTGATTGTCACAAAGCCCTGTCTGTGTCAGGGAGGTGACATCTGCCACAAGGGTGCCATCCCAGCCCGTTATCACTGCTGGGTTAGCTCCATCCCTCCCATCATGCAAGGACCTGTCTCTGCCTTCAGCTGGGCAGATGACAGCACGGGCCATGGGCATGGCCAGGTGTGATGCCAGAGCCCTGTGACTGCCTCCGGGACAGGCGGTTGGGTTTTCTGTGACCTGAGCGCTCCCACCTGCTGACCCTGGTTTTTCTTTTGTTTCCTGTCTCCCTCTTGGAGCAGAGAAAGCGAAGGGAGTCGGCCTCCAGCTCCTCCTCCGTCAAGAAGGTGAAGAAGCCATGAGCCTATTGCGCTGGGTGAGGAGGAGGTGCAGAGCTGTGTGCAGGGTCAGGGCTGTCCTGCCCTGGAGCCCCCAGAGACATGGGGCAGGACGGGGGCCTTGCTGGGGCAAACACTGCAGTGCTCCAGAGAACAGCGGGAGCCATCCCCTGCCCAGCACCGCAGCCCCAGCCCCATCTCCCCTCCGGAGCTTTTACGTGCCAGATTTTTGTGAGCCTCCCTGTAAATACAGAACCCATCACCTACACTGGAGCAGAGTCATCATTAGCCCCGGTGAGCCTGTGCTGCCTTCGGGGCTGCCAGGCCCTGCTCCGGGCTGCTGCAGCACTGCTTGCGCCGGGCTGGGGAGCTCCCTCCAGCATCCCACACCTCCCACTCCTGCGTCGCTGCCCCACACTTGCAAGCGCCGCCTCGCCTGGGTGAGGGGATGCCCCTGCCAGGAAACGCTCGCGTTGTCCCCAGCACTCGCTGCCAGTCCGGTTCCTCCTCCCACCACCCTGCCCAGGGCAGCCGGACGCCTCCGGCTTCAGTCTGTGGTGAGAGGAGCCCCTGGTTCCTCCGCCCTGTGTTTTGCAGGGCCCGGGGGGAGGCTGAGGCATTGCTGATGCCAGCGATGGGAGCCTGGGTTTGTGCGCTGCCTCTGCGGCCACCATGGGCATGGGTGGCCCTGGCTGCATGCCGTGCTCTGGGCTGCTGCCCGCCTGCCCACCCTGCATCCCCTCCGTGCTGCCTTTCAAGTGTAACTGGTGATCGATCCACCGTGACAACGTCCTCTGAGTCACATTCTCGCCTGCAGGAGTAAAGGGCAAAGGCCAAGTTCTTAGTTTTCATAGAAAACTAATTAGATGACTCCATCGAAAAATAGGTC